CACTTTCATGCAGTAAAATAGACTTCAAGATGTGAAACCAAGTAATCAATAGTCACAAAACATGTACTACAAAATGCCATAACTTACCATATTTGGACAGCATCCCATACAACAGTATACCACCCATTGAGTGTCCAATGGCAAACAATTTATCATCCTTGGGTTTGCTTTGAGATCTTATATAATCCATCTGCATCACCAAGACACAAAGTGTGAGAGTACAATATTAGAAGGAGCATGAAGCTAATTACAGGCATAAATTTTTGGAATGAGAGATCATACATATATCATGTTAGCTCACATATAAAAAGATTTTTATCATTGTCATAGCATGAAGGGTGAGGGAGAGTTGAAGAAGATCAGAAATCAGATGAAAGTAGGATTAACAAAAGTTAAAACTATTAAATATATAGAATCTGTTTTTAACCAAATATTAAGAAGAAAGGTCACCTCACCACAGCAGGAATATCCTCCTCCAAATAATGATCAAAATCCCAATCATACTTCACCATCACATCAAGCTGTTTCTGAAATTCTTCTATGGTTGTGAAGAAACGGGTCTGCAAATCAAAGAGTGGAGGCGAGACTGAGCGTTGGCTTTCTTCAAAGATATTCACTAGCCTTTGGCTTAGATCTGATACTTGATTAGCTACAGAAGAGTTGTCACTAGTTTCTAACAAGCTCGAAAGCTTTTCCTTTATGTCATTGAAGTGCTCAAGTAAATAAGAATCTTCCAAGAGTTTCTGAAGTTGATCAAATAGTCTTGCAGACATAACTTTTGATTGACCTTCACTAAGAAAGCCAGAGAGCCTCTGAGACAAATGCATGAATGTTTCTGTCAATTTTGTAACAAGTTCTGATTCATCCCACATTGTCGCAACTGTCAATGGAGCTCCATTATTAACTGGGACGTCTGCATCAGCTACTGCCCATCCTCAACAGCTGTGGACTGCCTTGAGTGAGCCGCAGCTTCTTTTGCCTTTTCAGCTGCTGACTCCATCTTACTAGAAATTTCATGGGCCGACTGTTCAACATCTTTAGAGTGTGTAGCAGGCATGCTCAATCCAGCCCCTCTAACTTCCAGAATCCATGTATCAAATCCTTGTCCAGACATGTAGCGAGCAAATGAAGACTGCCACAAAAAAATAATCATAAAAGATAAAATAAAAACAAAGCCACCTAAATAGTTTTAAGACCACCAGAGACCATATCCCATCTTATTCACTTGCCAATTAACAAGCCTTTATTTAACAACATGATCCCAAGAAAAGTAGGCTCTATAAATTAAAGCAGAATTTCAAAAACAAGACTGACGTTTTAATCATGCAAAAGAAAATGACATAGAACTCTCTAAGCTAGCATATGAATGAACAATAATATATACATATTACTAATGAATATTATCCTCCTTAACACCCTTAAGAGAGAAGGGAAAAACATAAAAGTGCCCCTTACTGCCCTACGGCCACCTTTCCATTCCATTCTATCCCAGCCATATTTGCAGCAAAACTCCAATGTTTTACTCCTTTTATGGCACTCCCAGTTCACATTAAGGCATTCTTGACTATGGATACATTAACCTAAACGCCTATGCCCCAATTCTTGATTTGGATCATGTTAACCTGAACCCTATCAAAATCGGAGTGCCATAATGCTTATAAAGGACAACCATATTTGATATTCACCGCAAATGTTATCAAGAGGGGACAGAAAATGGCTGTGGTGTTACTGTGGGGATAAAAACAACAGTTTTAACTTTTAAGATATTTTTTTTATAAAATTGCTTTAAGGTTACCCCCCACTTAAATGCCAAAAGTTATTTGTGTAGAGCTTATGTAGACTAAATAAGTCCTTATGTAAAGCATAAAAACCAAGTAAACACAGAAATACAATGAAATTAAGTCTATCTTGATGCATCATAGCTTTTTTTAATATGGACAGCTTAGATACTTCACACCATGCATATATGAAGGGGATATATTAATACCTTCACAGTACATTCTTCACAGAATCCACTTTCAATTGGTGCATATGGTGTTAATCTAGAGACTACAAGGCAAGCAATATAGAGACCAGCCAGAAAGCTAACCTCTCAAATGATTTAAAGGAAGTGAAATTAGTCAAAGAATTAAACTAGTTTCAATAAGTAGAAGGTTACAAGCTAGAGACAGAGTCACTGACTCTCTTTTAACTTAAGGTTGTAATAAATTAGAAGAAAAGCAAAAAATCAAATAAATTACTCTTTGGTTTTCAATGAGAATGCACCGCTGTAGATTAATAAGATAACAGGGTCAGAAGCTTAAGAACAAAATGACATTTGTTCAAGGAAAACTGAAAAGAGACTATAGACATTTTGGCAAAATGAAGAATATAAAAATTATTTAGTATTTCATATAATACCTAGCCCTGTCGATGAATGCCAAATAACTTCACCAACTTTAAGATAACAAGCTTAGCTCAAACTAAGTCCCAAATACTTCCTCATTTAAATTTGAGGCTAGGAAAATGTCCTAGACAATCCTTTTTAACCAGGGATATGACCCAAGCAAGAAGAATAAATCTAGCCCATCATGTTGGGAAAAAGAAAGCAAAATTATGAAATTATAGCAGAAATTTAAAATGCAAAAATTACTACTTTCTTCTTATAGCAATTTCTGATTCGAAGTAGTGCCAAGCTCTACGGAGCAGCGTAGTGTATTGGTAGTTTGTTAAAGTAAGAAGGCCTATTATCATAAGTTGACTTAATATAGTAGCTTTGTGGATCCATGTTTACCCACTAAATCGGTTTATGTTTCCTTAATTTTAATTAGTAGTTATGATGTACATGCCTATATAAAGTCTTGTAATGCTACAATGTTTAATTGAATTGAATACATGTATAATTTTGAACACATCCATGCTCATCACTCATAGAATCTCTTACTTTACTTAGACACATTTTCCTTATGAGTCATCCCTATGTATTTGACACACATATCACTTCACTTTCCATAAATGGCATGGACCAACTCAAAATTCCATTTCTAGCACTTCACTTGGAGCTGCTAAACACTAACTTAAAAAAAGTTAATTAAAAAAACAATTCATTAGTCATTACCACTATATATTACGAAGTATAAAAGAAAAACCCCACGATACACTAACAATATTATCACCAGCGACAACTCATACACGGAATACCCAAAAATTTCCAGATAACTTACCAATAATCAGGACAACTCAACACCTCAATCATTGTTATATTTCACAATCCTATCAACAACTAATAACATAATAAGTTGCACCAATTACTCTGTCAATTCGCAGCACTAATTAAAACATTGATCAATTAAACACTTAAATTCCAACGACATTGATAAACCAAATCATAAAATAACAATAAAAACCTAAAAAAAGAAAAACATGAAAATCCAAGTACCTCGGGAGATAGATCATAGCCAATAGCATTGGTCCCAACACCAGACAATAACAAAAGAGGATGATTCCTTGCAGTAGCCTGCACATTCACCAAAATCAAACACCCAAAAATCACAATCAAAACCCTAATTAAAATAAATCTCAAATTTGAACAAAAAAAAGAAACCAAAAAAAAAAAAAAGTTAAACCTGAGGATTAGGATGATAACGCCAAAGAGCAAGACGCCAATCAGAATTAGCAACATGAACATAATGAAGCTCATCAGCAGTACAAATCGAGGGTTTATCAACAACCTTCTCAACGGCGTCGTTTGAGAAAGCTTTAACAGTCAACCGCAGCGAAAGACGGTGATGATTACCGGCAGTAGCCGGTGATAGCCGGCGGCGATAATCGGCGGTAAACGGCGGCGAAAGGCGGCGGAAGAATGAGGAGAATTGGAGAGAGAAACGCATATCTGATTGAAATTGAAATGTAATCGCCATTTATAATGGTGTATTTATTTACACTGGTAATAATTTGCTGCTTTGTAGGAAGCGGTGCTACCGCTTAATTTGTGTTTTGCGCTAATTTCAGAAATTTTGATTAGAAATTTGAGTTTGTTTTATTTTTTTGGGATGCGGTTTGATTTGTTTGTTTACTCGTAATTTCATTTTGAAGAACACATTTGGTAAAAGCATACTCCGTATTAAAAACGAGTATATTGAGTTTCAGATTTGTTGTGTGACTTGTGTCTTGTGTGTGGTTTAGTAGTTGTAATTATTGTCTTCTTTTTTTGACTTTATGATGGGTCCTTGCTGGAAGTGACACATATTCTATATCCATAATCCCATTACTCCATATTTCATAGGATTTTTTACGAAAGTAAGCCTTATTAGTAAACTATTTACCAATCTAGACGCGTGGTCAAACTATTTACAAAACTGAGTTTCTGACATAAAACGCTGCCTCGGTCAGCGTTTTACTTTTGGTTATTATTTTTTTTTATAAAATTTCGTATTATGTGAAATACAAATTTTTTAAAAAAAAATTGGAAATACAGTAAAACGCTGACTCAGTCAACGTTTTTTTTGTATACATAACAGAGAAAAACGCTGACTGAGTCAGCGTTTTACACCTAAGCATAAAACGCTGCCTCAGTCAGCGTTTTATCTGCTGGCTGAAGGCAGCAACAGCAGGCCCCCAACAGCAGCCAGTGCACATCCACCAACACCACCACCCTCCTCCTCCACATCCTCCACCACCCTCCTCCTCCACATCCTCCACCACCATCACCACCACCACCACCCTCCTCCTCCACATCCACCACCACCACCACCCTCCTCCTCCTCCACATCCACCACCACCACCACCCTCCTCCTCCACATCCTCCACCACCTCCACCACCCATCCTCCTCCACATCCACCACCTCCACATCCACAATTTATTTTGAATGAAATGAGTCAAACGTGGACAAATAAGGAATTTGAAATTCAAACAAGACATAAATTCATTCAAATAATTATTAAAATAATAATGTAATGTAAGTGTTATGTACAACAAACTAGAGAAGGTCATTACAGCAAATAAATCAGATAATTCTATCCTATTCTAACTCATCAATTTGGTATAACGGCTCTCTATCCTGTATGTCCACTCTCGGCCTTTGACGACGGGTGTAGTGACGGACCGTGGTAAATGGGTTCGGGCGTACTGGCGGAGTCAGCTGGCTGGAAGATGGGTCATCAGGATGACGTAGGGGCGCGGAACTGCGAATGTCGTACTCCTCTGCGCCCGTGAATGACGAAGGATCACCCCCACAGCTACTCTGGCCAGCCTCGAACTGTGAGTGACTAGAGTGGCCGCCATGATCGTCCCGGGGGTGGACGAGATAGGCGTGACCATATCTCTGCAAGGTAGCCATGCCCATATCTCGCACCCGCTCGACCTGTGCTCTGGGCGGCTCAGGTATGCCTGGAAGGACGTCCGACAGTGCGTCAACCATCGCCGTCATATCCAACGCCTGCAGTAATTAAGGATGAGTTAGTTGAATTATATACAAATTTAAAATTGATAAAAATAAGTTAATCAAATACACTTACATATCCCCTGATCACGTCAAAGGATGGATGGTAATGTGCGGATGGCGGTGTGTAGCTGGGGTTGATGAAACGTCGTGTAATCCGCATGTACCACTCCATGTATGGATCGTATGGATCCATAACGCCGTGGATGGGGTCACCAGTGACGACGAACTCCAACCGTCGATGCCACAAGTCAATGTACTGGGCATGCTCCGTCCGCCAGTTCCTGTCGCTCTTTCCCCGACGGTCAATGCGGTGCAGCCGGGCACTAGTGTCACACTGCTGGGGGACAGTCTGTCGTAGTCCAAACTGTCGCATGACTCGATCTGGTAGGTGACCCACGACGACCTCAAAACAGATCAGGGGGACCCTAGAACGCCACTGCGCCTGATGATCTAGCAGATGTGGAGGCATGGCAGCAACTAAATCAGCTTCATATGGGTCCCGTGTCATCTGCGATAACACATAAAAAGTAACATAATAAACAGGTTAGTGCATATTAAATATGTTAAGAGTATACATAATAAATAACAATTTCATAAACAAATTAAAGATTTCACCTGATCCTCGGTCAGTCGATCAAGGGCGTCTCGGTAGTACGGCAGGCCCCTCGCCGCATGCGCATATGTCAGCTTGGGGACCGCCCATCTGCAAGCGTACGCCTCGTCAGCGGAAGGCCGTGGTGGAGGAATGTACCGCTCATACTGCTGGTCCTGATCCTGCTGCCCCTGACGATGTATAGCAGGCCTACCTGGCCTGCCTACATGGATGTGCTCCCAAGACCAATACTGGACATCAAACACACAAAACTAGGTTAATTGTAAACTAAGTAAGAACTTTCTGAATTAAATTGTTAACAGATAGGTAGGTTACCTGAAGCAAAAATAACGGTCCGCTGATCTCACGAGAACCCCGGCGGGATGCTCTACACAGATGGCGATACAACATCGCCAGACAAGCACTGCCCCAGCTGTAGCCACGAATATGCTCCCAGTCGTGGTCTACCAGCTGCAGGTAAATGATCTGTAAATGGCTGCCACTCTTGCCACCGAACAACACACCCGAGATGAGCAGAAAAAGGTACGCTCGATCATGTCTCGCAATAGTGGCCTCATCAGCACCATCAGGCAACACACGAAAAGTGTCGCGTATCCAGCCGGTCCTCAATCCGTCGCCCCTAATATCGTCCGGTCCTGGCTGAATTGGGGAGCGTATGTGTTTGCGTAGGCCTCTGATTGCAGTACCCGGTCCACCCATGGCCGCTCTGATATCGAATACTTCACACAAACTGCTAGAACATGAGAACATGGGAGGTGGAAGATCCGTGGTTTATTGCATGTGCACGTTCTTAACTGAAAGTTAACAGTATGTCTATGGCCTCCTTTTCTACCAATTCTATCTCCCCTCTTTGTTTCAACTTGATATATATGCAGTCGACGGTTATACGCTTCCACTTTGTGATATCTAGCCTTTGCAATGTTTTTCTCCATAATGGATGTGACTTTGGGGGAGTATGCAAGTCCCTGTTCAGATCTAGTCTGAGATAATTCCCTTCTATCAGTGAAATACTTATTGACTCTGTGGAATGTAAATTCCACAAGGGACATGATAGGTAGAAATCGAGCACCCTTCAACACATTGTTAAATGTTTCTGAGAAGTTCGTAGTACATATCCCATATCTGCGACCAACATCGTGAAACAAAGACCACATAGGCAAGGGCACTTGGACAATATATTGTATGGCCTTGGTACACGCCTGACCGATCAAACTCATATCAGCTACCAGTTTTCTTTCCTGCCTTTGGTACGCAGCAACCTTGAACATATCTCTCATGTCGTTTCTTCGCACGTGAGTCTTCAAGTTAGAAGCCAAGTGCCGAACATAAAACCTGTGATAGGCTCGCGGCTCGGTGAATCCAACGTTAGGGTCATTCATTACTGCAATGATCCCAGCATGTCGATCAGATATAACACAGAGGCCATCCCGTTGAGTGACATGAACCCGAATGCAGCCCAGAAACCAAGACCAGCTGGAAATGTTTTCCCCTTCGACTAACGCAAATGCAAGCGGAAATACTTGGAAGTTTGCATCCACACCTGTAGCAACCAACAATGTTCCTTTAAATTTCCCGTACAAATGCGTCCCATCGATACAGATGACAGACATACAATGTTTAAAACCTTCAACACAAGGGCCGAAGGTCCAAAATACTCGTTCAAACACTTCCATGTTGCTGTAATAAACATCGTCTACCAGAGCTTTGTGTTTCCATACAACAACGATTCCCGGGTTTGACTGTTTGAGTGCTTCCATGAAGTGCGGAAGTCGGCCATAAGAACTCTCCCAATCTCCAAATACTTCAGCTATGGCTTTCTCCCTAGCATACCATGCTCTTCAATAAGTAACGTCGAACTGAAAATACTTGGATATGAGTTCCAGTATAAATTCAAATTTCAAGCATGGATCTTTCTGCACAAAAGACTTCACAAAATCGAAAATTAAGGATGAATCCAAGTGTGCATGATCTGTAGATAACACTTCAGTGACACAGGTGTCCCGGTGCGGGCCTTTGTATGTGACTATGGTAAAGGTATCTGAGTGCTCACTTTTTTTGGTGCCTCGTAGCGACCAACCACAATTCTTCTTGCACCGCAGATGAAGGACCTTCTCATTCGAGGTCACTGTGGTGTAGAATTGGTTCCTTTGTATAGAATACTTCTTCACCATTTCCTGAAGCAGTTTCTTAGATTCAAAGAACATACCCTTCTCAAACTCCCCCCGGATCACAAATGTTGTATGACTACCTGATTCGGCCCAATATTGATCAACCTCATAATTCTCATTTACTTGACTTAACCAAGGAATAGGAGTTCTAACCATGGCCTCCCCACCTTCCATGTCTGTAGAATCAACATCCATGTTATCCAGAATTGGTTCCTCCTCTTCGCTCTCAGCCTCATCATTTGTTTCCCGGAGCGCATCATACTGAGACAACTCGTTATTCACCATATGTTGTAGATTTTCAAGATGATTCACCAATGGTTGAGACGGTGATGTATGATCATCATGCTGCGTAGGTGAATAACTTTGGAGTTGCATGGGAGAAGATATAACTGTGTTCGATGTCGAAGGCCCAGATTGGCCAAACATTGTCGTGGATGTTCCACCATATACAGGTGAAGCTATATGAGAACTCAACGGCATCTGGAACCGATCGTCATGAAGCAGTCTGCTGAAGGACCCCATCCCATATTCAGATGATGGAATGTCTTGTGAGGGCATTCAGAAGGACTCTGTGTAACCGGAAAAATAGGTAGCTTGTTGATCTGGTCGAGTACTTTGTTGCGTACACGCAGACACTATTTCTACATATATCTCATGTGGATAACCCCTCATTAAAACAGCGCTCCTCAAAGCTTTCAAATGTCTATCGTTAGAACAAGGTAACACTTGAACCGCATTATTAGTCTCAAACCTCATTTGAATGTTAAGTTGTATATTCATTCGGTTTAAGACAATAATGCTATGAACCTCGTTCATCAGATCGTTGAAAGTCATGTCTGGTCCAAGTGGCAATGGTTCCATATTTCCACCACTATACTGGACATTCGGTCCATCAGACACAAATTCACCCCCCCCATCGGCATAACAAAGCTGCGTTTTGTGCAGCCATATTCTATACAACAACCAAAAACACATCTTAATTGCATGAATCTCCACCAATTCGCACAATAACAACCAAGAAATTCACACTACAAACATAATTAACCATATTCACATAACAACCAAAACAAAGTACACAACGAACATATTCACACTAACAACCAACGTATTCTACATAACATAATTTTCGTAATTAAACGACAATGTAGGCTATTTTATCAAATTAAAACAACAATTTCATCAACAATTTCATCAACATTTTCAACATTTTTACCAAACATTCCCACAATTTCATCATAAACTTTCTTACTAAACTAACATCAATTTAGGGCTTTTATACTAAACTATTATCAAATTACAACAAACTAACTTAGAATTATCAACATAATTATCAATTTACATCAAACTAACTTAGAATAATCAACAACATTATCAAATTAAAACAATGTACTATATAATTATCAAACTAACCTAGGTTTTAAAATTTTAAAAACAAATAAGTGAGAAGTACCAAAAATGTGATTATAAAGAAGAGGAGAGGCGCGGCGGCAGCAGGCAGTAGGCGGCAGCGACAGTGGCAGGCGGCGGCGGCAGCGGCAGCGACGGCAACGACAGAGCTTTGTGGAAGAGAGAGTTTGAGTTTTTAGTTTTGAGGAAGAGTGAATACGTTGCGTCTGCCTGGAAGAATATACCAAGAAAAACCGCTGACTGAGGCAGCGTGTTTTCATATTAATGAAACGCTGCCTGAGTCAGCGTTTTAAGGCCTGTTATAGCCTAACACAAAAACGCTGACTGAGACAGCGTTTTTGTGTAATTCAGTTTTTTTTTTTATTTTTTATTTTTTATTTCACAAAATACATAATTCAAAACAAATTAAATAAATAAAAATGAGGAAAAACGCTGACCGAGGCAGCGTTTTACCTCAGAAGCTCAATTTCGTAAATAGTTTGGCCACGCGTCTATATTCGTAAATAGTTTACTAATAACGCTTAGTTTCGTAAAAAATCCTATTTCATACCCCGTCTAAGTCTAAATATGTGTTCGACATTAGCTTTTGAATAGCATTTTTTAGTGCTTTTTTTACGTGAAATTTTTTATTTCAATGGTATCATTTGTGTATTATACGGAACATACTCCAATATTTTATTGGAGTTCTAATGTTACTCTCAAATCTCACATTTGTATATATATAAAGTATCATACTCCGTATGATGTACTAATAGAGGTGGCAAACAAGTTGTGTTGTCTTGTATTCGTTACATGTATATCATATTAATGGATTGGAAATCACTAAATACGAATACGGCCCATGTAATAATCGAGTTAGAATCACCGAACACAACATGTTTACTAAACGGGTAACACTAACTTAACTCGTTATTTGATTGGGTCGTTTTTGTGTATCACACCCCATTTAGTACCAAAAAAAATTTCAAATCATTAGAGCATGGTGAAACTAAAAGCTTGAATTGTGACAAGTTGATCAATTGATAATTGTTCAAACAAGAATATTACAAATCTCAAAATCTAAATCTCAAAAGATTACAAACCACTTGATGTTTTTATATTTTAAAAAAATATGGTGAATTTAAAATTTCAAAATTGTGATAACTACTTTCAATTGATTTCCAATAGTTCATATCATCTGATATGAACAACTCAAGCCACTTCTTGCAAATAGCATACCTAATATCACAAGTTTAAGGGGAATACATAAAAATAAGGATTTAAATTTAATACACTACCTCCATTTCTGAAAATTCGACTCACTTACTATTAATGTGGTCAAAATAAAATAACTTTGACCACATTTATGATTTATACAATCAAAATAAATTAACAAGTTTGGTCCTATTAGATTCCCCTACTGATAAATTTTTCAAATATCAACTTTTTACAAAAATTATTTATACATAGCCGAAGTTACTAATGGTCAAAGATGTTCATTGGAAACCATGAAAATGCAAAGTGAGTCGAACTTTCAGGAACGGATGGAGTATATTATATTATATAAATAAAGTAGAAATTTTTCGAGAGCATTCGGCGCGCCACATAAGCAAAGGCATTATTTCGACTAATTAAAAATTAGATTTATAAAATATTTTAGAATTAAAAAATTCACTCGCCACCTAAGCAAAAGTGATGGATGAGATTTAAGAATTTTTCCAAATAGTTAATAAAAACGAATAGTGATTTATGATTTAAAATATTTTAAAAAAACCAAAAAATTATCTTTTTTTAACAGCTAAAAGATAATCTTTAGATATTAAAATTTAAATTATATATAAAAAAATTATACAAAATGATATATAAAAAAAAACCGTATATATAAATTTAAATTAATTTTAAAAAAATTATACATAATGATATATATAAAAAAAAAACCGTATATATATAGGAGTTTTTTTTTCCAAGTTAACTGAACTTTGGATTAAATAAAAAAAATAATATAAAATAACAAATATCATTTCTTTTATCTTGCAAAAAAAAAAAAAAAAAAAAAAAAACTATATAATTTATCCCATTAAAAGATTAAATGCTACATTAAAAAAATTATCGTATTAAAGTTTATCATATCTAATGATAAAATTTTATCACCACTTTAAATTCAAAATTTTTTCTATCCTGTATATAAACCTGATTAGGGGATTATTACCCCGCCACGTAGAACAATCAAGACCCTCCACGTGTCATCCACGTGGACCAACCAAAGTCCGCCACGTGTCAATCAGTGAAGAGTCCAAAGTGGACCAACCAGGGCATGACACGTGGCAGACAGATATCCAACTAGGAATGGCTACCTTCAAGGCCCAAACTCCTAGGCAGCCCAATTAGTCCTAGGTTTTCGTAACCTAAGACTGGGCGCATACTTCGAGACCCTATAAAAGGTAGATGTTCCCACCTGGGGAACAACAATTCACAAACATTTAAAGAGAGCATTAATTGCAGAATTGAATACGCTTGAGAGTCAACACTGAGGTTGTTTGCTATAGCCGGATGATCATTTCTCTCCTAAGAGGAAGCTGATCCCATCTACATTCCGCACTTTTTACATCTGAACACGTTCTAACTTGATCGCCGGAGGCGGAACTCCCACCAACCGGGGTCTCTATTGTTTTGCAGGTACAAGTGCCCGGAATCCAGTCTTGCAATTGTAACTCTCTCGAAGGACACAGAAAACCCCGAAACATTTGGCACGTCTGTGGGGAGAGTACTTTTGAGATGGCTTCACATGAGTCTGTACCACCTCCTAATGAGAAGCGGCCCTCGGCCAAAGTCCAGGTCTACTCAGACCAGGACAGCGGTGACGACTTTGATGTTGACACCTATGTAGTTGCTGATGGTTCACTCAGTACCAAGCGCACCCGTCCTTTGGAAATAAAGGAACGGGGAAATGATCAAGCTGGTCCAAGTGATCCAACTAAACAGCCGACTGGACAAAACCAGGTGGCCGAAGGCACAGCCCCAATCACCCGAGACGAACTCATGAGATTCACGACAAGTTTCAAAGGGGAGATAAAGGACCTCATCGATAAAAAGTCGGTTGGCTCTAACAAGGAGTAGTCGGACAAAAAGCCTTCCTATTCTGGGAGGAACAAGGCTGTCAAGGACCAAGAAACCACTCTGCATCCTATATCAAAGGAGGGGAAGCGGCCCTTGATCGATCTTACAAAGATCTGATTTCCTGAGACAGGGACGAGGAAGGCCATTCGGCACGTCCAGCCGGATGACAAAAGGAAAACTTATTCTGATGCCCGGATGTTAATTCAGCAGAAGAAGAGTCAACAGTTGTCTGAGTCGGCTTCAACGTCGAGTTATCCAGACAGCTTATAGAATACCTCAATGAGGTATTCGCAGTCAAACCGAGAGGGTCAGTCAAGCGGCCTGTCCGTCCACTCTATCCCTCAGATAATCCATTCGTCTCAGTATGTGCCTTAGCAGCCATACATGTCGTATGGGCAACTTTACATGCAGTTGGCCCTCTTTGGGGGGCAGGCGGCACAAAATGTCCAGCCCTTGGACTGGTAGCTCCGTCTGCTAAAACTTGGGGAACAACCTTCTGCATTCTCCAGGGAAATAAGCGAGGCTGCACAACCGGCCAAGGTTAAGAATGTTCTGGTGGATGCCTATGATGGTACCACCAACCCAGAAGATCATCTTATGGCATACACCAACCTTATGTATTTACAAGGGTTGGATGATGCCACATGGTGTCGATGCTTCCTGGCCACACTGAAGGGCGTCGCCCAACGATGGTTCGGCAAATTGCCAGCCGGATGCATCAACAGCTTCAAGACGCTTGTGTACTTGTTTGCATCCAACTTCTCTATGAACATCCCTGCTAAGAAAACAAGTCTTGACTTGGGAGCAATACATCAGGCATATAGAGAAGGGCTACGGTTATATATCAGGCGGTTCAATCTGATGAGGATTCAGATTCAAGGGTTTTCTGATGAAGTGGTCTATATAGACTTCTTCAAAGGTCGAAAAGACGGATCGACCTTTAAGTTCGATCTAGTCAGAAAGAGGGTTGCAACTCTCTAAGAAGCACTGATGGAGGCGGACGCCTATATACAAGCGACCGAACTCTGCAATATCAGTAAGCAGTCGAACCCTAAGAAGTCTGACAAAAAAGAGAGTCGGCCTGCTTAGCCGGCTAAAAAAGAAGAGAGCAAGAAGAGAAAAGAGGTCTGGGTGGCTGATAACTCTGAACAGCCGTCCCAGAAGAGAAACAAAGAAAGTAAACCGTACGTCCAAAAGTACGAGTTTAACAAAGACTGTTACTCTATCCTCATGGAGATCAAAGACCGGGTGACCATTGAGAAGCCGGCTGCAATGAAAGGTTCCACTAAAAATCAGAACAAACACAAGTATTGTCATTTCCATGAGGACATTGACCATGACACCAACGACTGCTATAGTCTCAAGCAGCTGTTGGACAGTCTGGCTGACAAAGGAGTGCTTAAGTCTTATATTATGAGGTCCAAGGTTACTCTACAAACTAACCATGGGCAGTCGTCCAAAAAGAAGCCTCAACTTGCTAATAGTTCGGACATTGATGAAGAACCGATCTATACAATAGCAGGCGACTTTGCTGGAGGCGGCCCAACCATCCAGGGTACCAATTCAAGGACTACATCAGGCGGCTGCATGTCAGCTCAGTTGATGAGGGGCAGGCATCCAAGGACACTTTCCCTTTAGTTATCATCACTGAGAAAGATAGGGGCAAGGTTAGGAGGCCGCATGATGACCCCATTGTCATCGAATGCAAAGTGGTCAACCAGAAGGTAGGCTGAATCCTCATTGGCACCGGCAGTTCGTCTGATCTCATCAGCCACAAGTGTCTGGCAAAATTAAAGTACAAGCCAGGCATCATGCACAAGGTGTCTCACCCCTTAGTTGGATTTGGGGGTGGAGTTGTACATCCGGTAGGCCGGATAGATCTACCTATCTAGCTAGGGGAGAAGGTAGAAGGACGCCACATGGTAGTCCGGTTCTTGGTCGTTGAAGAGCTGACGGCCTATAACTTGATATTGGGTCGTCCCACTCTAAATGAATCAAAAGTTGTTATTATCCCATCCCTTATGCTCCTTAAGTTTGAGAAGGATGATGAGTCTGTTGGCTCCTTAAGCGGAAATTAGAAGACGGCTAGAGAGTGCTACCTCTCAGACGTCAAGCCTACGGTGGCCGCATTCGGCCAGAGCAATGAACCAAAAGACCTTAACGAAATCAAGGATGTTGCGCCTGCTCTAATAGCAGCCGACAAAAAGAGAAAGGCCGACTAGTTGGTGGCCATTAAAAAAGAAAAACAATAGCAATCACTGACCGGGGAACGATCAGATGAACTCCATCCCCAGCCAGCTGGTGAACACATTGATATTGCTCTGGACGACACACGGCCAGAGTGAATTGTTAAGGTTGGGACGACTGCTTTAGCAAACTTGGGTGCAGACTTGCACAATTTGTTACAAGAATTCAAAGACATTTTTGCCTTTGAAGTAGAAGAGATGCCAGGCATAAGTCCGGATCTTGCTATTCATAAACTTTCTATGGATCCCATAAAGAAGCCGGTTAGGCAAAAGAAAAGGAGCCATGGTGAAGAAAGAAGTTAGGCGGAAGCCGCCGAGGTAAAACAGTTGCTGGATGCTGGGTTCATTCGGCAATGTTACTTCCCAGATTGGGTTGCTAATGTTGTGCTTGTCAAGAAGCCGAATGGTACCTGGAGCTTGTGTGTTGACTACACAGATTTAAACAAGGCATGTCCCAAGGACAGTTATCCTCTACCAAAGATTGACTGTTTGGTCGATTTTACAGCCGGCCATGCCTTGATGAGTTTCATGGACGCCTATTCAGGTTTCCATCAGATACCCCTGTGGAAGAAAGATCAAGAGAAGACGGCATTGGTCACTGATCAAGGGTTATTCTGCTATATTGTGATGTCGTTTGGTTTGGAAAATGCGCCTACTACTTTCCAATGAATGATTAATACATCTTCATTAATCAAATTGGGAGTAATGTAGAGGCGTACATTGATGACATGATAGTCAAATACAAACTACAGGCGGATCATCTTGCTGACCTCTGAGAAACATTTGCCACACTCAGGCAGCACCAGGTCATGCTCAATCCCAAGAAGTGTGTTTTTGGTGTTGAGTCTGGGAAGTTTCTCGGATTTCTGATTAATCAAAGGGGGATAGAGGCAAACCCAAAAAAAATACAGGCGGTCATAGACATGCAGTCGCCCTTCACTGTAAAAGAAGTTCAAAAGTTGATAGGTTGTCTGGCGGCATTGGGGAGATTCCTCGGTCGGTCAGGCGACAAGTGCCTCTATTTCTTCCAAGCCATAAAAAAGAAGACTATGTTTGAATGGGGGGCGGATGCTGAGGCGGCCTTTTAGAGATTGAAGGAACACTTGCACTCACTACTACAAATCCCGTCCTTTTGAGACGCTTTTTTCCATTATTTACGACATTGAAAAGCGTCGCTATTTTTTTTCTTGACGCTTTTATAAAGCGTCGAGAAAAAGTGAGTCGAGAATTTTGCGACGCTTTTTCGTGTCACAAATCTCGACGCCCTTTTATGTCCCAATATTTTGTGACGCTTTTAAGCGTCTTGAATATCAACGCTTATTTATGTCTATTAAAATATACTAACCGTCGAAAATATCCGTATTCAAGCGCCACCACCAAATTTCTAGACGCTTTTTCCCGTCTATATTGTTGACGCTGTTTTCAGTCTCAATAAATTGAGACGCTTTTTGATGTGCACACAAAAATAGTGGCGGAAAATTTTGAAACTGATTAAAGCAAAATATCTTGACAAGAAAAAGCGTCTAGACTTTTTTTGATTGTTTTTTTTTTATAAAATTTAAATAAATTTTTTTTTTGGTAAATAATATTGCATTACCAAGAGGGCTGCAAAGCAGAAAAAAATTACAAACACCAATAAGCCAAACAACCTAACATAAATAAGCAAACCAAAATAAACCAAACCGGCAAAACAAGACAACAAACCAAAATGTATTACATATATCAACTGACTGATGGATGCTAAAAAAAAAAATCTAGCCATGTCCAAAATATCATTATTATTATTATTACATATATCAACTGCCAACTAAATTAAAAAGTTAGATTGAAGCCTACATAAGTTAACTACTAACTAACTATAAACAAATGAAGGTGCATAGTAGGCTAATTTCCATCTTTAGTAAATTTCCTTTGTTCTCCTGTTGCATTCATAACCTTCAAAAAAAAAATAATAAGTATATAATATTTAATTGTTAGAAGAAATACAGGGGTAAAAAAAATTATCTGAAGGAATGTAATGACAAGCATATGAAAGCATCAACGCCTCATAACTCACAAAATATCAGATCCGCGGGTTCCATAGGGAACAGGCTCATAATATCAAATTTATAGGCTACAACAAGTTAGCAACAATTTATTTTACACATGCTTTGTAACAATTCTAGCTCATAACAAGAACCGAGAAAAACTGCACTTTGCAGTCCAAGATAAAAATAAATTGACAGCTTCTTTTTTTTTTTTTTTTTTTTGTTAAGTAAGCAATTTATTACTTAAAGAAAGAGGGCAAAAAACGCACCCTTACCACCAAACTACAAAGCCAACCAACAACATCCAATACACCAGCAGAACATCAGACACAGATTTGCACCACAACACCAACAACTGGCAGCAATGTACAGCAACAAACAAGCCAGCAAAGGCAACACAACAACACTCAACAGGAGCAGCCACCAGCAATAACAAGGCAGACAACACAAGAGAATATTGACAGTTTCAATATATGAAAATGATTGTTGTTCTTGAATTTTATCAAAATAAAGAGATAATTACATATTGGTTTGTCACTCTCAAGACTGATTTGGTACAGTTAAGAAGTTCTGTTGAACCTTTTCCACCATTAACTCCACCAACAATTTGAGAAAAATGTCCGATAAGGGTTTTAAGAAGAATATTATTCTCTTGTACTTGGTCTTTTAGCTTTTCATTTTCCTTCTCAAGTACTTTATTTTTTTGTGCAAAGCGGACATTTCTTCTTTCACATTACTATCCAACACCACAGTCCTTTGTTTAATTTTTCTAGACCCGTCCTTCCTTAGCAAAGCATGCACCCCGTAAATGTCGCTCTTTCGAACCCCAAGTCCGTAACCTGTAGGACGATCAGGGATCTCTCCACCATGCATGGTCAGCTCAAAGGCTTCATCTTTAAGTTCCTGTTGGGACTTAGAAGGGTTTATCAACCTTAACTATTCAACTTTAGCTTTTGCATCATCCTATAAAAAACGTCAAATAATAATATAGTAAAAGAACATCATTTCCGCATAAAATGACAAGCTTTAAAACACATTTAGATCTTTTACCACAAAATCTTCGGTCACTGTGCCTGGAAGAGAACTTCCATCCTTGCCTGTATGAGCTTTTATCCAAAGAGATAATAAGCTCATCTTTTCTCCATGCTCATCTTCCTATATATTATTAATGTAAGAAGTATAAATGAAAATATGAACAAGATAAGTTGCATAATCAATTAGTTAAAATTATATGTTTGTAACATATGATGGTCATTTATAAGAATGGTTCATACATGGTCAGCTTGTTTGTTCGCAAAACTGTTAGAACCGAATCTATGTAATTGATTTAGGGAGGCCCCTGCTGCTTTACCACATGCTGATAGTGACTGCACTCATATTCAAAGTCATAAATAAAATTATGTAATTTGCATTTAGACCAAAATTAACTCTAATTAGAAAGCAAGATGTGTGATATCTCAATAGGAAGAAATTTAATTACTTTCCCTTTCTCTGAATCCCAATACTTAAGTAGCTTTATCCAATTTTGACTACTAATCCCATGCAGTGGTGTAGCGCTACACATCTCTTCTAAAGTTTTCTCTGTTGGTTTGTAGTAATCCTTCTTAAGCTTATATTGCCTCCAACTTTTATTAACACACTTGAGGACTGCTTTGTTATATAGTTCACCTATGGGAATCTCAAAGCGATCCTTATACATGAAAAACAAGTAACTTCAATAAGAGTATTTATACGTTAGTAAAAATAAATAAATTCATGAATGAAAAAGTAGTTTCTTATGACAAGTAATAGAAAAAAAGTTGATACATACTCTCATCTCATTAATTATCTTCTTTTTAAAATGCTCATCAATAGTATGCCAATCCTCTTCTCTAAGTGGACAATACGTCTCTATCTTCGCAATGTGACCAAGGAATCGGATTAAAATATGTCCACCTTTTGAATGGGTTGGTACAACTCATTAAATTCAACATAGAATCTGACACCGTCATTACTCCAAACATCAATAGGCTGAATAGAACCACTTAAGTATACAATGTTACCATTAGCATCTGCTCAAAAGCAAGGGACTTAAAAATTGAATAAAGCTGCAAATTGAGGTCAATAATATATTCATTAACACGTCAAAACTATCAACCCAAAAAAAAGAAAAAAGAATTAAGAATATGTAAAAAAAAACAAAAATAAAAAAGTGAACATACCCACTGTCAAAACCTCTTCTTTGTCATCAAAATCATCTATAGTCATAGGCCAATCAGGATGTGACTTTGATCGTAGAGACTTCACTGGTTTTGAGCTTTTTTTTTGTTTCCTCAAAATTCTTTTCCTCAGTTTCAATATGAACATCTTCTTTTTTGCTTTTCTCATTTGAATTGACTAAGTTTGAGGAGGAGGGCTGATCAGAATTGAAAGAGGATGTAGAAGGATATTTTAGTGACTTTGATGTAATAGAAGGTGGGATGTTAGGTAAGCTCATGGATGAAAGTATGGGTGGGTTTTCTTTACCATAACCTGATAAGGTTGATGATGCTGGTACCTTAGGTGAAGGTGCCTTATGTGAGTTATTAGTTGATGTTAGTGCTTTTTGTGAACTTGATGTTCCAGTTGGTGGGTTTTTCCATATAGCTCTAACTTTGTTATCTTTTACAGGCATTTGTGCACTTGTTGATGTATTCAAAGATGGTGGTAAAACCTTTGTTGTAGTGGCAGCTGGTGGAGAAAACGGTCCCCATTTAATAGTTGTCTTTGGGACTTGGGATGTTATTCGCTCATTAACTTGTTTTTTGGTTGGCTGTGAATCCTGTGATGCATCTCCACTCATATATGCACGGGGGCAGTAGATGCAGCCCTTTCTCTTTTCACTCGATAATTCGTCACCTACATGGCCACATTATAATAGTTAGTAAATGAAGATTGTCAGTAATATATAAAAGAAAGGTTGTCGATAGCAGGTCAAAGGCACATCAAGCGAGTATGGCTAGAATATAAATCCAAAAGCAAATATCAAACTCATATGATTAAGTGTATCATGTAAACTAAAGAATCAAATACAATGTTATTCTAAAAGCTCTTCATCATTTGGTATATCAAACAAGTCCCTAGGCTTAGTCTTAATAACATGAAGCCATCCCTTTTTAATCTCATCTTCAATGTAAAAAACTTGCTTGGCTTGGGATGAGAAAATAAATGGATCGTCATGTAAATTTTGACCGTGCATCAACTTTGAAAAATTGACACAAACACCACCATTTGGGTATGTTTTGACACGTCTATGTACATCAACCCATTCACATCAAAACATTATAGCCTTGAAAGAACCATAATAGTCAAATTTCAATATTTCTTTGACCTTTCCATAATACTCTTGGCCTTCGGCTTCTACCATGATTCTAGAATTTTGTGTCTTTCAGAATCTCTCACGATCCATAGTATCAAGTTTGTAACCATTGATCACCACACTTTTCATCCTTTTTTACCCGGTTACTCAAACCACCGGCTAAGGACTTTCTCATTTTTCCTTCTGTTGTGCTATCATCTAGATTATTGACCTATAATTAAAAAAAAAAGTTACACATAGATTAGTTATAAAAATAAATAAGACAAGTTTTCACCGTTTTAAAGCATATAACCTGGTTTTGCAACCAATCAGCAAACTCATTGATTATCCACTAGCTTTCAATACTCTCATCCGACTGCCTTCTTCCGACTTGATTCTCTTGTTGCCATTTTTGTTCTATGAACTCACTTTTCAAAGTGGACAATTGTGTTACTACCTTGTTAAACATGATTATACTCTAAAATTGCTTATAGTACTACTTACTCAAGCACTGGTTTCATCTCATCTGAATGAAGCAAAACATAGCGATGCGCTTGCATTAAATTAAACTTTTGTCATCAAGACGAACATTATCTTTCTTTCCAAGTACACGACCGCCAGAATTGTATAAATAAGTTTAAACGTTTGCAACACCATCCTCATTCCTTTTTGGTTTGATAAATATCGTCTCAACACTTTCTAAATATCTTGAGCAAAATGTAATTGTCTCCCATAAAAGGTACCCTTCTGCTATAGATCCTTCAGGTTGTGCTTTGTTGCTTACGTGAGATTTCAAAAAGGCTAAATACCTTAAAAACAAAAATTATATATGTTAATGTATATTAAAAAAAATTAATATGTGTTAAGTATTCTTATATAAGAGTGAATATGGAGATATATAGATATTAACCTTTCAATGGGATACATCCATCTATAATGAACTGGTTCGCCGAGTTTTACCTCATCCACTAGATGAATGAGCAAATGAACCATGATGGTGAAAAATGTCGGTAGAAACTCTATCTCCATTCTACAAAGAGTTAACACAAGGTTTTTTTGAATGGAATCTAGTTCTTCAATGTCAATGGCGGGTGAACATATATATCTTCTTGAAAAAGTACGACAACTCCTCAAGCAAGTCAATAACTTTTGTGGCATTTGATGCTCTTAAAGAAACTAGAAGGATATCTTGCATAAGGATATAGTTGTCATGGCTTTTCATATTAATAAGTTTTCGTTGCTTCAAATTGACACATCTTTGTAAATTAGACCCATATCCATCAGGAACTTTAACTTTTTTTAACACTCTTAGAAATCGTTCCTTCTCTTCATTAGACATAGTGTATGCAGCTGGAGGCATATATTTTTGAGCCCGATTAGGATGAGATTGAAGCCAAAGATGAGGTTTTATGTTTTTCTTATCAAGAGCCTTTCTAGCTTCTGGATCATCTCTACATTTATCCATATCTAATAGAGTTCCTAATAGATTGTCACACACATTCTTCTCAATGTGCATTACATCTAAACTATGTCTAAAAAGATTATGTTCCCAATATTCCAATTCAAAAAATGCACTTTGCTTCCGCCATATAACATCATCAGCATCAGCTTGATAATCATCATCAATATCTATTGTACCTCTATTTTTCCTTTTGTTAGAAGCTTTTTTCGAGGTTCCATAAACATACTTAACCTTTTCTTGCTGCTTCAAAACATTAGTCCCACTTAAAGGAATTGGATCAAGACCGTACTCTTCTTTCCCATCAAATAATTGAGCTTCGCAACGATAAGGATGATCAATTGGCAACCATTTTCGATGTCCAGGAAAGACAATTTTACCACCAAATCTATATGAATAAGTAGAATCATCATAAGAAGGGCAAGCTTTATAACCTTTGGTACTCCATCCCGACAACATAGCATATGCTAGGAAGTCATTTATTGTGGAGTGTAAGGCTGCTCGCATGTTAAAGGATTTTCCACTATAAGCATCAAAAGCTTTTACACCTTTCCACAACAATTTCAAATCATGTATTAATGGTTGCAAGTATACATCAATATCAATACTAGGACCATATTTACCCGGAATAATCAAGGACAAAATGAAAGATGATGACTTCATGCAGATCCAGGGTGGAAGATTGTAAGGAATTAAAACCACCGGCCATGTACTACAATTAGTATTCATTAGCCGATATGGATTAAAACCATCACTAGCTAATCCCAATCTAACACTACGAGGGTCGGCGGAAAATTCCTTATATTTTTCATCAAATTTTTTCCAAGCAACACCATCTGCAGGGTGCCTTAGGATCTTATCATCCTCACAGTTAAAATATCATCTCATATCCTCTGCTGTTTTAGAAGACATGTAAAGCCTCTTTAGTCTAGGTATGAGAGGAAAATATCGCATAACTTTAGCTGGCTCACCTTTCTTAACTGATTCATTCCCTTTATCAATTTTGTCATCCTCCTTCCCTTTCATACTTTTCCACCTTGATGTATGACAAATATGACACTCAATTTCATCGGCAAATTCCCCCAAAATATAACATGCAATCATTTGGACATGCATGGATTTTTTCATATCCTAATCCCAAGTCTTTGATTATCTTCATCCCTTCATAGTAAGATGATGGAAACTCTTTAATATGAGGGAATACATCATTTATTAGTTCAATCAATTTATTAAATGACTCGGCAGACCAATGAAACATACACTTAAGGTGAAACAGATGTAAGAGAAATGATAACTTTGAGAAAGTAGTACAACCCTCATATAGACCCTCATTAGAAGCTTCCATAAGACGTTTATACTTTTCCATTTCTTCATTAGTGTTAGTTGAAGGAATTTCATCATCTACCTCACAATGAAAATCAAACTCTTCATGCATGTCATATGAACCTTCCTCGTCAAAATTCGTTTCATTTGATGATGGGGCTTGGAATTCATTAGTGGATTGTGGACCGTGAACCCCGAAAGCCGCTCTTAGTAGCCCATCCATATCATCTCGATCTACTTCCTTCCCATGATCACTAGGGGGCTTTAAGGTATTACTCCCTTCACCCTCACAATGGAGAATCCATTTTCTATAATTCGTATAAAAACCGTTAAATAAAATATGGCCTCCTACTTCTTCTAAAAGATGCCATTTATTAAACTTGCACTTATTACATGGGCAAGTGGTTTTTCCATCTATAAGAGTCTCCTTAGCAATCTATAAGAATTTCATGCAACCCTCGTAATAGGCAGATTTGCCTTTTGGTATATCAATCCAACTAGTATCCATATCTACGATGAAATGTATAAAATTAATATTTAATAATTATTAATGAGTATCAATAATAAGCTAACAATAATTTGGTAATTAATATTATAAATTTAATAATTAAGAAGAGTGTAACAACATATTCCATGACTTAGTTGATTTTTAGCACAGTTAGTAAATACTTTACCAAGGTTTCCCCTTCTATAGCTTTTATATAATCTTATCAATACGGTTGGAGACAAAAGGCAAATAAAGTGATCAAACATAATAATACATGCCAGCATTCACAAAAAAATAGAATACATTTTTCATATATGATCAATAACATAAATTATATAAAACTATTTTGGGAGGCCTATCTACCAGACATATAACACGAAAATATAATATACAATTATCCGACATATAACATAATTTGGGAATTAGGGTAGTTACCTCGGCCAACTCGCTAAGTGCAGCAACTATCACAATCTAGAATAATTTTTAGACAAGCTCCTCCTTTGTCACCTATTAAACACAAAAACACAACTTCAAATTTTAAGATATGTCCTAAATATTAGCCTATTGGCTTAAGATTTATATATATTTTTACATAAGTCAAACTTGTACGATTTTTAGTAATCTACTTGTTCACATATGGCCAACATTCTCAACATAAACATGTTTGATTATTGTTCTCACTAACATAAACAACCAACAAAGAAACAACACCAAAAAACAAAGAAAGAAACAGCAGCTAGTCAAGGTAGCAAGCAATCTATACACCACAGGCAGCAAAGAAAATAGCAACAATAACAGCCCTTGAGAACCAACAGCAAGCACACAAACTAAAGCAGCACAATAAGAAAAGCAGCAGGCAGAAAGCACCAGCAGCAGCCTGGAGCAGAACCCAAGAGACCCAGCCAGATTCTGGGTATTTTTCTTTTCTACCCTACTCAATTTCTTACCGCTCTACTTTGTTTTAATTTCACTATAAATTTCTCCAATTTAATAAAGTTTATTTTGCTGCAAAAAAAACCCCTTTATTTTCATTTTCTAAACTATAATATCAAATAGCTTCAATCTAATTTGCGGAAGTTGTTGTTATCGATGAAGGGTGATAAATCAATTAAGAGTACAACATTTAGTAAAATGAGGAAAACATCGTCTGATATTAGCAATTTGCATTCTCAACACCAATCGCCTTTCAAGAATCAGGACCTATAAAAAAGTTTCAACCCACAAACCCTAAATAAAATTAAAATTTCACAAAATTAATACAAAAAATCAACAATTCAATAAACATAATCAAGCAAAACAAATACCAATCAATAATAAAAAGTATTATATAAAAAAGTATCTAATTAATTAGACCATGACCTGTGATATATATTATTGACTTCTCTGCGTCGATCGTTTCGAAATCCCATAAGCAAAAACAATTCCCATAACGTGCAATGAATAAACAGAGATTCAGCATAAGCAACCTAATTTGAGTGATATATCAACCAAAAACTACGAAATTGATGCCTATAACAAGGAGATCTCGGAAAATTGATGACAAGAGCGAGGGGATTATCGATAATTAAAGATAATACTGAAGAGAGGAACGAAAATTCAACAATTTCAAGCAGTTTAGGAGATCAAATGAGATCGATCGCAAGCGAGCATAGAAAAAGTTAGGGTATTGATGGCGAACTAAAGGGTTTTTTTTAAATTTTTTTTATTTCTTCAATCTAACTTTTTGGTATACTGTACTGTATGGGCGGTTTCTTTTATTTTTTTTTATTTTTTTAATTTTTTTGATTTAGCTAGCCCGCTTATTTTTTCCTAAAATTTTGAAGTCCCGGGATGGACTGTAGTCACGTGCACTAAGGCACGTTTATTTACGACGCTTTTATGTGTTAAGACCCAATTGTGACACAGATTAGCGTCGAAAAAATACGGAAACTAAATTTTATGCTAACGCTTGTTACCTGGCATCGAGCAAAAAGCGTCTAGAAACTTAGGGATTTGTAGTAGTGACTCTTTGCCAAGGCTTGTTAGCCCTTTGCAAAAGGAAGTGTTGTACATGTACCTAGCCGTCTCTGACCATGCGCTCAATGTTGTTCTCCTTGTTGAAAGAGGCGGCACCCAGCTCGTGGTCTACTTCATCAGTCATGTTCTACGAAATGCAGAACTACGGTACCCCATGGTTGAAAAGTTTGGACCTGCTTTCTTCATGTCAGTCAAAAAGTTAAAACCTTACTTCTCGGCGCATCTGGTTGTGGTCTACACAGACCAACCTATCAAGCGGCCTATGACAACCATGGAATCATTCGGCCGAATGGTCAAATGGGCGATTGAAATTCAAAGCCTTGAAATTTCCTTCGAACCAAGGAAGGCAGTGAAGGGACATGCGTTTGTCGTCTTCATTATCGAAATGAAAAGGCTGGCTAATCCTGAAAACCTTGATCAGGTTTGGAAGGTATATGTGGACAAGAGCTCTACCATGAACGGTTGTGGTGCAAGCGTTATATGTCAATCTCCTGAAGGGGATAAGTATGAATATGCGCTACGATTCAAGTTCCAAGCCTCAAATAATGAGGCAGAATATGAAGCCCTACTAGCCGACATCCGCATGTGCAAGGCGACAGGGGCAAGAAAAGTTGACGCCTGCTCTGATTCACAATTGATTGTTAGCCAATACCATGGTGACTATGAGGCCACCCATCCGGCCATGATCAAATATTTGCAGGCGGTCAAGGAAGAAGCTGGGACACTTGATGAATTTCATCTAAGTCAGGTGCCCAGGTCAGAGAACAATGAGGCGAATGCTCTCTCTAAGCTGGCATCATCCGCCTCTTGTGATACACCTAGGTCAGTCTTTTGTGAAGTTATGGAAAAAAGAAGTATTAAAGAAGATCCCATTGAAGTACTGGACCGAAGCTCAACCTGGATGGATGGCATCCGGGCTTACTTAACAGACGGCACCTTGCCGAATACTTACTCAGAAATGGTCGCAATGAAAAAACGTGCCGCCGGTTTTGAAATTCATAATGGAGAACTTTTCAAGAAAGGTTATATTCAACCTTTGTTGAAACGTGTCACCCTAGAAAGGGGAAGAGAGGTTTCAGAGGACCTGCATTCGGGCTTTTGCGCCTCCCACATAGGCGGTAGGACCCTTGCAAAAAGGATCAGGCGGCATGGCTACTTTTGGCCTACCCTCGAAGCAGACGCCATAGAAATGGTGAAAAAATGTGACAAGTGTCAAAGATTTGGCAAAATCATACACCGTCCGCCCACTGATCTGATGGCCATTCACAGCCCAGTACCATTCGCCAAATGTGGCATGGACATTCCGGGTCCATATACGCCTGCTACAGGCAGACGGAGGTATATCTTGGTTGTTGTCGACTACTTCACCAAATGGGTAGAAGCAGAGGTGGTCAAAGGCATTAATACAAAGGATGTCATCTCCTTCATCTGGAGAAATGTTATCACTCGGTTTGGGGTACCCATGTCTATGGTCTATGACAACGGTCCTCAATTTGAGATGTTTGCTCTCAAGAATTGGTTGGGAGACCAACGGATCTCTCATTGTTTTACATCAGTCGGCCGCCCTTAGGCAAACGGCCAAGTAGAAGCCTTCAACAAGTTAATCTCAGATGGAATTAAAAAGAAAGTTGAAAGAGCTGGCGGCCAATGGGCGGATGAATTGTCGCATGTTCTATGGGCCATCAGAACGGCTGAAAAAGGGGCGACAGGTGAAACCCCATTTCTCATGGTTTATGGTGCATAAGCTATTTTACCTATTGAGCACTATGAGCCGACTCTTTGAGTCATGTTATATGATGAGGAGGCTAACTGGGAGGCCATGCGGCTAGCATTGGACTCACTCCCGGAACGCAAGGGCAATGCTGCCTTGCATCATGAGATCTACCATCTGAGAATGACGAGAGCCTACAACAAAAGAGTACACAAGCGGCCCTTGAAAGTAGGGGACTTTGTGTTATGAAAAATGGTGGCAACCGGTAGGGCCAATGAGCAAGGAAAGCTGACCCCTAATTAGGAAGGCCCCTACCGGATCTATGAAGAAGTAAGAGGCGGCATCTATCGCCTGGAAACACCAGACGGCAGGCAGCTAGCCAGAACTTGGAACGTAGACATCTTGAAAAAGTACTACTTCTGAGACTTGTAAAATTTTTGTAAATAAAAGCATATCCATAAAAAGTTGTCGTTTGTTTTCAATACTTTTTGTTTAATTGTTTGCATCCTCCCAATGGAAGGGCCGCCTGCGCAATGTACAAACGACCTTATTACAAATTCCCATCTACTCCAACAAGAGTAGATATAAGCTAAATCTAAAAAAACTTAGCAGCTATGTGTTGTTCCTTTAGAACAACCTAATGAGGCCTATGGCCGGATGATCTTAATGTATTAAAAATATGTCTACTCCAACATAAGAAGGCGTCCGGCGACGCTCATTTGGGTGAATTCGTCGCAGAGAGCATCTCTCATTTGGGTGGCACATTGCTCTATAAACTTGAAAACAAACATCCCCACCGACTGTCTAGTTAAAGATAAGCTCGCAGCCGTTTGAATTGATCAAATGAGACTAAGATAAAAAAAACTGCCGACTGTTTCAAACAAGTGGTAACCAATTATAATCTTGGTCAGATACCGCCTGTTATTGCTCTAGGACAATACAGACGGCTAAATTTGAGGATATAAGCTAAGTCCGAAACTTAGCAGCTAATTGAAAAAATACGCTAAGTCCAAAACTGAGCAGCTAACCATGCGAAGCAACTACATGCGACCATTGGCCGTCTGCTTCTTCTATACACTCAAAATCAAGTAACAAAGACTGATTAACCGAAAGGGCTAACTCACAGTCGTTCGGCTTGAATAACCTAAAATGGAACCTAAATGGTATGAACAAAACTGCTTGTCTTATTGACACCAGTCGGTATTCGGCCACTATTCCTACTTAGGTTGGCGAAATCAAGATAATTAAAGCTACCGCCTGTACTATAACTAGTGGTCGCTATCTTGGTTAGATATCCCGTTTGACACCTGCTATTGTCTAGGTATCATACAAAAGGCTAGTTTACAATCAACAAAATAAGCTAAGTATAAAAACTTAGCAGCTAAGCGTGGTTCGTCTTAAGAACTATAATGAGGCTGAAGGCCGGATAATGCTGAACGTTTACCCGCCTGTCCAATGGTCGACTGCCCGCCTGGTTTGGGGCAATCACCAAAGTGATTGATTGACTTTGAAATCAGTCATACTTCTTAAAGTATCAAAAATTTCCAAGTCTATCAATTTACCTTTGAAAACCAGGCGCACAGCCGCCCAAGGGCAAAAACAGTCGGTATAATGAAAAAAGCATTTAAACAAAAAGCAAGTATACTTAGCAAAAAATTTTAAACCGGCCTAATGGACGAATAATTCATGAACATAGTCGGCCTCATGACCAACAAAAAGAGTTAATCGGTACAACCAGCAAGAATTGTTAATAAACCTGACCCCTGTTCAGTAAAGATACATTGAAACATACGACACTCAGGCCGAAGAAATAAGTACATGGCCATCCGTCCGCAGGAAAAACAACCCAAGAATTAAGCTTCACGAGGAGGCTTTTCAGTATCAGCAGCCGCATCCTTCTCTTCCTCAGTCGGCTCCTATTCCTTTTCAGCATCCTGCTCCTCCTCCTGATCGGACCCCTCGGTCGAATAAGACGACTCATCCTCCTCTTCCTCTTCCTCTTGGGCTTGGTTCATGATTTTATCATTTACTCTTGAAAGCGAACTGATTCTTCCAGCCATCATAGCTAGCATCCAGGAAGAGAGCCCCCGAAGTCATCTCCATGATGGCGTTGCAGTCGTCCATCATTTGTTTGACCAGGGCCTCTTTTTCCTCCTCAACCCTTGAAGTATATTTTTTGGCGAGTTAGACTTCCTCGTTCTGCAGCCTGGACTTGAGTTTGTCCACCCGAGTGCGAAGGCCAGCTTCTTCGACGTCCGCCTCTTTGAGGAGCTCAGGCTTGGCCTTAAGGTCCTTGACCTGCTACTCCAACTCAGAGACCCGCCTTTTTCGCAGCGTCTAAATCAGCCTTGACTTGCAGGTTGGCGGTTGCCTGTGAATACAGTATGTCAGTCGTCAATATTTCATTTTGAGCAATCTAAAACATGGTCGTATCTAGAGAAGAGGCGGAGCGAGCTTTCGCAGCTTTTACCTCTTTGGTCTTCTCATGGATGGGCTTCCTAAGTCCATGCATTTGTAGCATAGACTGCATTCGGCAAAGAGCAAAACATTAGTACAGGTGGCTAAAATAGTCGCGCAAAAAAGTAAAAATTACAAGTTAAAATACCTCAGCGAGAAGAGCGAGGATGGCATCAAGGTTGAGGGTGCCGACTCCTCTAACCGACTCCCTGTCCTCAAGGGAGATGGCTCTCAGCATAGTCTTGGCCAGCTGTTGAAGATCCGACCTTTGAGGGGCATCTGGAAAATCAACACTTTGTAAATACTTGGTGTAAATTCAACTTATAGATCGGCTGCTTTCAGAGGTACTGGTCGACTGCTGATTGAATTTGACCCTACAAGGGTAAGACAAAGGATTAAAGCTTGTAATACCTTCGGCCTCCTCCTTCTCCTTTTGGGGCCGACTACTCTTAGGGGCGGCTGGGGACTTGGGAGGATGGGTTCTTCCAGGCCTCTGGGCCGCCACATGTTTCCTAGACCT